GGAAGGGAGAGGGAGAGATAGATTGAAACATCAATGATGAGAGAGAATCATTGATTGGCTGCCTCCTGCACACCCTCTACTGGGGACCGAGCCTGCAACCTGGGCATGTGCCCTTGACCAGAATTGAACCCGGACCCTTCAGTCCGCAGGATGATGCTCTATTCATTGAGCCAAACTGGATAGGGCTGTACCATATCTTCTTTATCCAGTCTTCTATTGCAGCACACTTTGATTGTTTTTATGTTTTGGCCACCATGAATAATGATAGCATTTTTTAAAGCAATTTATAAGCTGATTCTAAAATTTGTAGTAAAATTTAAAGGACCTAGAATAGGCAAACTCACTTGGTAAAAGAACCATGTCTGAAAGGGGGAGGGCTAATACTACTAGATTTTAAGACATAATGAAACTTCAGAAATCAATATAGCATGATATTTGCATCGAGATAGATCAATAGATAGACGGAATTGAACAGAGTGCAAAAATATGTGCACCTACATAGAGACAAATTATTTGGAACAAAATATGAAGGCAATTTAGTGGAGAAAAGATGTTGTTCCAATAGGTGATACTGAAACAATTGCATATCCATAGTGAAATTTAATGGATTCCTGAACCAGGCACACAAATTAACTCAACATTGATCCTAGACCCAAGTGTAAAACCTAAAACTTTAAACTTCCAGAAGGAAACAGAGAGAAAATCTTTGGGACCTTGGATGAGGCAAACACTTCTTATGTATAATGTCAAAAACAAAACATAAAATAAAAATGATAAACATCCTCATTCAAGTTACAAGTCATCTGCTCTTTGAAAGGCACAAGTGGGAGAATGAAAGGTGAGCCTCAAACTGGGAAAACAATTTGCAGAGAGCAGATCTGTGAAAGGACTTGCATTCAGAATATACAGAGAACACGCCAAGTCAATAAACAGGGAAAATGGCCAAAACGTTGAACAGTCACGTTACCAAAGAATACACATTAGATTTCAAATAGGCACATGGAAAGATGTTCACCATCATTAGGGAAAAAGAAAATTCAAACCATAGAAGATTCCACTACCCACCTCTTACAGGGTCTAAATGGACAACAGGGACTGTGTGAGGTGTTGGGGGGATGTGGAGGCAGTTGGCCCCTTTTGTGCAGCTGGGAGGCCTACAAAACGCTGTGAGCACCCAGGAAGCAGCCAGACAGCTTACAATGTAGAGCACACTCCTAATGAACCCTCCCGCTGTCTTACTCCTACGTACTCTCTCAGGAAGAAAGAGATGTCTGTACAAAGACTTGTGCACAAATATTCACAGCAACTTTATCATAAGTAGTCAAAAGCTGGAAACAACCAAATTGCTCATGGGCAGGTGGATGGAGATCTGGTGGCCTATTCATGCGGATGGAATCCGCCCAAGAAGTCACAAGAAAGGGACTTTGACTGTGGGGAACCGATATAGGGTTAAGTCTCAGACTGACCTGTTGGCAAAGTCACAAACAAGTCCCAGCTTAGAGGGCACAGTCCTCTTAGCATAATTAGGCCTGACCTTATAACACTCCCTAGATCTTATCTGGGAAGTTAATGGGCTGAGGGAAGTGCAGGAAGTGTAACTATGGTCAAAACAAGTGAAACTCACAAGAACTGTGTAACTATGGTAACCACTACCTTGTTTACCTCTGACTATAAAAAGTTGATGGCCTGAGCACCAGTGGAAGTCCTTCCTCTTGAGTTGGACTTAGTCGCCTGGCCCCGAATATTCCCAAATTATCTCTTGTCTTTTCTCTTTCATTTGTGTGCAGCTCCTCTTCCAGATCCTGAACCCTGAACCACGCGGGACGTGGAGGGAAACATTTACAACATTGACACACTGAACAGGGGGTGGCTCTCACCCATCTGCTGAAGAAGTCAGATAAAGGGAGCACTGCATTAGTCCGAGTCTGTAGAAACCTGTCATGTGTGAGCTCACCTGGATGACGGGGCGCTGGTCCTGGCCTCCGTCCTGAACCCTGGGGAGGTGATGACGGGAGGTGATGACGGGAGGTGGTACAGGACTTCAGAGACCAGGGACAGTTTCTAGCCTGTGATGGCCACAGTGTCACAGTGTCAGTTGGAAGCTTTGGGCATGCACCTTCCCTGTCCGTCAGTTGGCTCTCAGTAAGGTGGTGAGGGAGTGAGGGCACAGGTGAGGCTGAAAGGATTCAAACTTTTGAACAGAAAGAGGAAACCATGGAAGTGTTACAGGAGTCAGCCAGTCAGAGGAAGACAACGGCCACATGATCTCCCCCACCTGTGGAATCTCATGAACAAACTGGACTACCAAGCAAAATAGAGCCAGACTCATCTATAGAGAGCAGGAGAGAGCTAGGGTGGGGGAGGAATTGAGCAAAAAAGGAGAGAGAGAGAGAGAGAGAGAGAGAGAGAGAGAGAGAGAGCTCCTGGACATGGACAGTAGCATGGGATTATGGGGTGATGGGGAGTGGGTAGAGGTGGAGGAGGCATAGATGGGATACATGGTGATGGGAAAATTAAGTTTAATTTAAAATCTTAAAGAAAGAAGGAAAATGCACATTTCAAAGGCATACATTTGTTGAGGAAATTAGGAGAAAGCCGAATGTGACACAGGAAGGCATGGTCCATCCCAGGCAGGGCTGCCACGCCCAGCTCCCCGGGAACCGGGCCCCACCTCCACCGAAGGCGAAGGCCAAGCAGGGCCAGGGCGCAGGAGGGAGGTGCCTGCGGCCAGGAGCTCAGAGGGCCTGCAGTGTTGCCTGGCG